CACTCTGACAACCACAGCCCTGGAGCCTAGATTAGACACTCTGAGCAAACTTCATCCAGCAAAAACACCCAGCAAACCTGGGCCAAGAAATAGGCTTTGAGGGCCAGACAAAACCCACTAAGGACATGGCCTGCTTCCTCCTCTCCCTGGAGGAAGCTGAGCCAGGGCTCCTGCTGACTTCCTAAGGCTGTCTGGGCAAACCCTAATGTCCCCAGACCCCAAGGCCTGAGCACTGTCGACAGTGCCCTGTCACCAGCCCCAGGCCACAGTGAGCCACAAAAACCCAAAGTTGGAAGATGCTCGGGGCAGCAGCCGCGGTGCACACCGTACCAGTGCCATCGCCAGAAAGTGGAAGGGACTCAAGTCCAAAACAGTTGCATTTCTGGCTGTCCCCTAGCTACACCTCCTGATTTCCTGTTTGTGCCATCCCTTTGCCCAGAATGGCCTCAGCACTCTGCCCCTCATTACTATTTCTGCCTGGATCCCGGATTTTCAACAATGCCTCCTGCCTCAGCTGTCCCATCTCCCTTCTTTCAGCCATCCCACCCCAGGCTTCACTTACTTCCCATTCCCTTCAATGAAAACCATGCTCACTAAGGTTACCGGTTACCCCTTAACTACCAAATCCAATGATACCTTTTGGTCCTTATTTGATCTTTGTGTGTGTGTGTGTGCAAAATTTGGCACTGTTAACCACTGGGGATTACAAGTCTATGTCAGACATCCCGAAACTCTCAGGAGATGAAGACATTTTCCTTGACCCTAGGGGTTCCTCCAGAGAAATGTGAGCAGCACTGCTGAGCTTAGCAGTAGGTGCTTGTTCCGGAGGCTAGAACAATAGTGAAAGAATGAGAGTCTGCTCCCGGGTCAGCCAGACCCAGGGGAGTATGATCATGCGGGTGGAAAGTTACTAGAAGGGAGTCGAAGCCAAGGTGGAATGACTAATCCAGCTGATCCAGCCAAGGGGTGACTGCCACGTCCACATCCACTGTACTGGACTCCAGGCCCAGGGCAGGCTGAGGGCTGAGGAAGCCCCAGGGAGAGACTTTACTTCCCCCCAGAAGAGAGCAGCTGGACCATGGCCCAGCAGGAAGCAGCTTGGATTCTGAAAATCTGAGTGAGCTCAGAGAAGACTTCCCCAGGCTGAAATTGGCCAAAGGCCTTGGACTAGGTCTGTATGATTCATAGAAAGAACAGAGAGAACGTCCTGAGTCTTCTGTTCAGCTCAGCATTCAACAAAACCACCCCTACCTTGAGGGCAAATTCCAAGCATATGTGTGTGATACAGGGGAGAGTGGGAGGCTGAATAAAATGTTGTGATTAGTGAGAAAGAGAATTCTGTGGCCATGAAGCATTTATCCTAGTCCTCCTTCATCTTTCCCAGCATTGCTAAGGATGGCGCATCAGCCAATACACTGTCCAGGAATTTGTCCAGAGGACAGGGCCTACCAGAGGCCAGGAAACTGCTAGTGTTTGGCTGGGAAATGCTGAGGCTGGTTAATGATAAACCCAGCTCACTATTGTTTTTATCTTAACTGAACATTCCACTTCAAAGTTTTTTGACACCACTGATGCATCTTTTTCCACTTCCTCTTCCTCTTCCTCCTCCTCCTCTTCCTTTTCCTTTTCCTCCTCTTCTTCTTCTTCTTCTTTTTTTTTTTTTGAGACGGAGTCTCGCTCTGTCGCCCAGCCTGGAGTGCAATGACTGGATCTCAGCTCACTGCAAGCTCCACCTCCCGGGTTTACGCCATTCTCCTGCCTCAGCCTCCGGAGTAGCTGGGACTACAGGCGCCCGCCACCTCTCCCGGCTAGTTTTTTGTATTTTTTAGTAGAGACGGGGTTTCACCGTGTTAGCCAGGATGGTCTCGATCTCCTGACCTCGTGATCCACCCGTCTCGGCCTCCCAAAGTGCTGGGATTACAGGCTTGAGCCACCGCGCCCGGCCGCTTTTTTTTTTTTGACAGAGTCTCGCTCTGTTGCCTGGGCTGGAGTGCAGTGGTACGATCTCTGCTCACTGCAACCTCCATCTCCCGGGTTCAAGTCATTCTCTTGCCTCAGCCTCCTGAGTAGCTGGAATTACAAGCACCCGCCACCATGCCTGGCTAATTTTTGTATTTTTAGTAGGGATGGGGTTTCACTATATTGGCCAGGCTGGTCTCGAATCCCTGAACTCAAGTCATCAGACCACCTCAGCCTCCCAAAGTACTGGCATTACAGGCGTGAGCCACCACACCCAGCCTAATGGCTACATTTTTAAATGATCATTTTTGTTATTCAGAGTGTTTTTGTATTGGAGGAGAGACATGAGGCTGCTGATTTCTGCTGATAGTATGAGGAAGAATACATCCCTTAACCAGAAGTCCAGTGGAGGGGGTCTAGTTCTGGCTCTGCCCTAACTCACTGTAGCTAGCTCACTGCTCCTCTCTGGGGCTTGGCTGGACCATCAGTAATACAAAAGGGAGGCCCAAACGTCACTGAACTCCCTTCTGGTACCAACAGTCAAGGAATCCATGATTCTAAAGGGTGATTCTGGGAGAGATACAAGCAGCGGGTGTGCACACATCCTTCCAGAAAGGGAGGCAGGATTTGAGGAGACTCAGCTAATGTGGCCAGGGGGCAGACGCAGAGGCAAGCCCAGCTATGACGCAGGAGAGATGCTGGCTGGTGGTGGGCGGGGGAAGGGGCGCTGGCGGACAGCAGCTGCGTGGCCTGCCCAGCACCTCTTCCCCTGCTTTTTGGCTAACGAGGCTTTAATTTCCCTTTGGGAAACAGCTTACATGCCCGTCCACTGAACTCTGCCCTGCACTGCGGACACGCTAGTATTTTCTCACCTCCACGCTTTGCCCACGCCATTTCCTCTTCCTGTCTAGCTCAGTGTGTCCAAATCTCTTCTGTCCTAAACTCCATATCAAATGCCACCTCCTCAAGGAGTCTCCCTCATGGTCTCTTGTTGGAAGAATCTCTCCTTATAGGCACTCCTCAGGCCCCTCCTTTATTGCACTTGAACCCAGCTGCCTGGGGAGGCTGAACTGCAGAGTGTCGGGTGTGTGTTTGTTTGTTTTGTTGAGACAGAGTTCCGCTCTTGTTGCCCAGGCTGGAGTGCAATGGCGCGATCTCGGCTCATGGCAACCTTCGCCTCCTGGGTTCAAGCGATTCTCCTGCCTCAGCCTCCCGAGTAGCTGGGATTACAGGCATGCCACCACACCCCGCTAATTTTGTATTTTTAGTGGAGACAGGGTTTCTCCATGTCGGTCAGGCTGGTCTCAAACTACCAATCTCAGGTGATCCGCCTGCCTCGGCCTCCCAAAGTGCTAGGATTACAGGCATGAGCCACCATGCCTGGCTGAGTGTGTGTGTTTTAAAGTATGAGAAGCTGCGGGAACCTCCCTGCCTCCTGCCTGGGTGGACGCCGGAAGTCACCCTAAAGCAGACCTTACTGGTCTTTTCTGAAACCTCAGTACCCCCGTACTGGTTATGCAAAGGTAAGGGAGCAGCTGCTCGTTACCCTAAAGGAATATGGTATTAGGGGCCTTTGCGGGGCTGACATAGGTTCCCCCTCCCAATATTCTCCCTATACAGAACTGGTCTCAGAAAACATGATGGGCAAGTATGCCCAGGGGGCAAGAAGACTTCAGAGAAGATAGGAACCTGGGCCCCCCCCTTTCCTCCTAGGGCTGACAGTGTTAGACTGGACATTCCCTAGGGAGTCTGCTGGCACAAGAGACGCTAAGGCTCCAAGGGGAACTCACCAGAGGTCAGGGTCAGGGGTAGGCAGGAGGGTCTGAACTCCTGACATGGCTCAACGCCAGTCCGGAAGTCCATAGCCAAGTCCATGGCTTGGGCCAAAAGTCTCCTGGGTCCAAGACCCCCAGCAGGTGGGGAGGCTCTGGGAACAGTGGCCAGCATAATGAAAAACAGCAGAAACCTCTAGAACCTGCACATGGGGTCTTGCATAGCAGCTCCATGGTGATGGTGGTCCCGGATGTACCAAGAGTGGGTAGCCCTGATTTTCCTCTCAGTGCCATGCATCAGTGGCAGAAAACTGGGGTCAGCTACTGGGTAAGTGGGGCCCCAAGTCTCTCTCTTTTGCCTGGCAAGTGGAGCTTAAGCCTAGAGCAAGCTGGTCTTAGACAACTGGAGTGTGAGGCAGGCAGAGGAGGGCTACACTAGAGTTCTACTAAACAAGGCATTTCAGTGCTTAAACAGTTAACTGGGGAAAAAAGAAATACATCCACAGCTCCACCCAGAACAGTGAAGGGTCCCACCAGCAGCGTCCTCATCCTTTGCACAGGCTGCTTTGTTTTTAAATTAGGGTTGAGGCTCCACCGTTAGATAATAAGTTCTTTGAAACAGAACAGTGCCTTTATCTCCATTTCCCCTATAATATTTTGCAGTGCAGTAAATGCACAATAGATTTTTGTTGGAAGAAAGAAAGGAAGGATGGATGGAGGCAGGGAGGGAGGAGGGAAGGTGGGATCATAGGTCTAGGAGGACACGAAGGAAGGAGCTATTGCAGCGGGACTAGTAAGGGCTGGCTTCCTGGCAGAGGTGGCCTGTGAGGGGCCCTGAAGGAGGAGCACCTGAGAGGATCATTTGAGCCTAAGCCTTCCTGGAAACTGCTCTTTCTAGACGCAGAGTCTTTGCAGCACATCAGGGGCTAAGGTCTCAGCAGGAGCTATCCCCATGACCCCTACCCCCACTTCTTGTCCTCAGCTACTCAGTAATTCTATAATTTAGAGGGTCATCTCTAAGAAAAAAACATACAGAAATATCTTACTTTTGCAAATTTTACAAAATATAGTAAAAACATCTCATGAGGTGAACATTGCTGGGCCCCTCCCGGGCTCCAGACTTAAGGTTCACTAACTTCCCAGTACGGCGACCTCTGCCCATAGGACTCCCCCCTTCCACCTGGGCCCCCACCATGCCCAGACTCCCCTCTAGCTGGAGTCGTTGGGCAGTGGCTGCTAAAGGCCTCTGGGACCCTGAGTCAAGCTGACCTGAAAGGCAAAGACATCCTTGACCAGCGCCTCCCCAAACACGAAGCTGGAGCCGGCCTGCGTGTAGCTCAGGAAGATCTGAAAGAAAAATGCAAAACAAAAACAGGCAGTGAGGCTGGAAAGGGAGGAGGGAGGAAGCAGCGACCAGAGACAGGCGGTTTGGCCCAGGGACGTAGTCCCCCCAGGCTCTTATTGGGGTGGGCACCACCTGGCAAGGAGTGTTAAAGCTACCGCCGCGGGCACTCGCTCCTAAGCATATGTGCCAAAGAGACACCTTTTTGGTCAATTTTAAAGACATGCTCTGTAGGCTGGGTGCGGTGGCTCACACCTGTAATCTCAGCACTTTGGGAGGCCAAGGCAGGCGGATCACCTGAGGTCAGGAGTTCGAGACCAGTTGGCAAACATGGTGAAACCCCGTCTCTGCTAAAAATACAAAAATTACCCGAGCGTGGTGGTGGGCGCCTGTAATCTCAGCTACTCGGGAGGCTGAGGCAGGAAAATTGCTTGAACCCAGGAGGCAGAGGTTGCAGTGAGCCGAGCTTGTGCCACTGCACTGCAGCCTGGGCAACAGAGCGAGACTCTGTCTCAAAAAAAATAAAAAGAAATGCTCTGACAGTTGTTAGGACAATAAAGAAGAGACAATGGAAGTAACCATGAGACGTGTGAAGAAGGCAGTGCCTTTTGTGCCTGCTCAGGCCCCTGACAACCAACGGCAAAGCCTCCCCTCATCTTGTCCCCATCCCGGGCTTGTGGCCTTGGAGTCTGAGCCCAGCCACGCTTCTATAGGAGACCTGTGTTATATCCTGAACTTGCAATGTGACTGCAGGGGCAGCAAGTCATTTCTCTTGTTCGGGCCTCAGTGTTCCCATCTATAAAATGGGGACATAGCCAGAAAAGCAACTCTCTGTCTTTTCCTCCACACCCTGTGCAGTTACTCTCAGCGAGGCCAGCAGGTGTGCACATTCCTGGACCGGCAGGGTTCTCATGCTCCCCCCTGCACAGAGCACAGGGAACTGCAAGCTGGTGAGAGGGAGGTAAGTAGATTAACCTATTTAACCTATGTCCTTGATAATTTATATTTTTTTAAGTGTTAAAAACACAAAAATTAGCCGGGTGTAGTGGCTCACACCTATAGTCGCAGCTACTCAGGAGGCTGAGGTGGGAGCATCCCTTGAGTCTAGGAAGTCGAGGCTGCAATGAGCTAAGATCACGCCACCGCACTCCAGTCTGAGTGATGGAAGTGAAACCCTGTCTCAAAACTAAACTAAACTAAACTAATCTAAACTAAACTAAAATAAAATAAAAGAGGTCAGCGTGGTGGCTTATGCCTGTAATCCCAGCACTTTGGGAGGCCAAGGGAGGCAGATTACTTGAGCCCAGGACTTTGAGACCAGCCTTGGCAACGTGGTAAAACTCTGTCTCTACCAAAAATAGAAAAAGTAGCTAGTCTCATAACCTGGTTTCAAAATAAATAAACAAATAAATAGATTTTAAAAATTCTAAGTGTTAAATAAAGGAGACCATTGGTTTGGACTGAGCTCCTGCACTTCGCCCAACAGACCAAACCAAAATGGAATCGCTCATGCTATAAAGTTCCACATCACAAGTCAAAACTAAGCTGTCTCCTGACCTTCCAAAAAACCAGGGGAATGAGACATATAGCCATATCCCCAAATGCAGCATGACAAGCAGTCCCCTCAGTTTTGACCTTTACAAGGAAAGTGACCTTGAAACAAGCAATCTGCTTTTTGTTTTCTGTTTCTGCTTTCTTCAGCCTTTCTCTGTCTATAAAGCCAACCTCCTCTGCCCAACTCATCGGAACACTCACTCTATTTTTATAGAATGAGGTGTTGCCTCATTCTAAAATCACAAGTAAAAGCCAATTAAGATCTTTAAACTAAATTTGTTATAATTTTCTTTTGACAAAAGTAAATCATGATAGTTGTACAACAGTGTGCATGAATTTAATGACACTTAAAAGTGGTTAAAATGGTCAATTTTATGTTCTGTATATTTTACCAAAATAAAAAACAAAATTGGTTGGGCACCATGGCTCAAGATGAGATCACTTGAGCCCAGGAGTTCGAGACCAGCCTGGGCAACATAGGGAGACCCTGTATCTACAAAAAAAAAAGAAAAGAAAAAGAAAAAGAAAAAATATGTTTTAATTAGCTTGGCATGGTGGCTTACACCTGTAGTCCCAGCTACTCAATACTGGGGAGGCTGAGGTGGGAGGATCACTTGAGCCCAGGATGTCAAGGCTGCAGTGAGCCATATTCACACCACTGCACTCAGCCTGGATGCCAGAGCAAGACTGTTTCAAAACAAAACAAAATGGGCCCAGGTGTGGTGGCTCACGCCTGTAATCCCAGCAATTTGGGAGGCCAAGGCAAGCAAATCGTCTGAGGTCAGGAGTTCGAGACCAGCCTGGCCAACATGGTGAAACCCTGTCTTTACTAAAAATACAAACATTAGCCGGGCATGGTGGTGGGTGCCTGTAATCCCAGCTACTGGGCAGGCTGAGGCAGGAGAACTGCTTGAACCAGGGAGGCAGAGGTTGCAGTGAGCCAAGATTGTGCCACTGCATTCCAGCCTGGGTGACAAAAGTGAGACCCTGTCTTGAAAAAAAAAGCAACAACAGAATAAAAATGTATGACTTCAATACACATTATTTTTAAACACATACACACAGAAGTAAATCATTTGCAGATTTGGGGAGATTTTTTTTAAAGCACTTTTAACTATTACAATTTCCAAGCCACTGCTGATTGCAGACCCAGCCTCTGAAAAGACTACTTTATTGGGGCCTCAGTGCCAGGTGTGAGGGAAGTGGCAGCTGCACTGCCCGGGCCCCAGCTACCCACCTGGTATGGAGCCCCCAGTCTACCCTACCCTCCAGGTCCCAAGCCATCTCTATGGCCTCACCACCCACTTTTCGCCCTGCCAAGTGGCTTCTCCCCTACTCCCAGTAACCTAAGATGCTCTGGGCATCCAGGTCCCATGTACCTACCCGGATCTGCTCGCCCAGCCACTGGAACGCAATAAATCCTGGTTCTGTTCTGATGACGAGGAGTCCAAGTACAAACTGCAGTCCAAGTCCCCAAGACACGGCCCGCCAGGACACCTGCCACCCCACCCCACGGAAAGGTGAGTTCAGCTCCTTGAGGGATGGGCAGGGAGCTGGGTGGGGGTGAGAGCAGGGGGCACTGGCTACCGAGGGAGCCCAGGAGCATTGGCCTGCCCCGAGAATGGGGCTGGAGCCAGACAGAGTACTAGGCCTGTTGCCTAGTACTGTTGCCTGATCCCTCCCTGGGATTCAGAACAGGCCATGTGCTTGGCAGGAATGGACCTGGGCAGTGGGCAGGGGTGGGCCAAGATTCTAACCAAGAACTCAGGTGAAACCTGACCAGCCTTGGGCATGCCACGGCACTTCGTCTCCTGGTCATCACTGCCAGAGATGTGGCCTGGGGCTCTGGCCTCAGGATCAGCACCAGACTGCTCCGGGCCCAGCTCCTCTCCAGCTCGTGTGAACCCTGTCTGCCTGACCATCTCCAATCTCTCCTCCACAGGCTGGGCTCCCATCCACCTCAACCCCAACTCTCTCCATGCCCACACCCCCTGCCCCTCCCAGCAGATGAGAGCTGGGCTCCTCAGGTTGCTGTTCCCTGATCAGCATTTAATAATTCCTTAGCAGCAAGTCCAAGCTCTGGTGTGCATCCTTCTGGGAGGCTTGGCGGTAGCCTGGGGAAGGTGGTAGCCACACTGTGAAACAGGGAGGGATCCTGATGCTACAGAGGCAGAGAGAGAAGGTTCTATCTGCCCATGGCAGGGACCTCCCAAATGGGTGCATGCCTGCCTTAGTATACATCAGATTTTAGTACACATCAGAATTTAGTACACATTAGAATGTAGTCTATATCAGAATTTAGTCTACATCAGAATTTAGTACACATCAGAATTGTGCTTGCTGACAGGATGATTGCTGCCCTTGCCCCTGAGTTTCTAATGCAGTGGGCCTAGGGTGGGGCCTAAGAAGTTACATTTCTGGTAAGTTCCGTGGAGGCACTGCTGCTATTGGTCTGGGGCGCAGACTTTGAGAAGCACTATTTTAAGCTAATGATTCCAGGAAACCCTTGGCTCTGCAGACAGACTGGAGCTCTGGCCTGTGTTTTCTGTGGTTGGGGTGGAGGTAGTTCCTGAGCCTACAGACCTGAAGACCAGGATTGGACTGACCAGAGGACATGTCACCAAGGAAACAAATGTCCTGGTGGCCTCTGAGTCTGGAGAGACATCCCTGCTGGGGAGTTTGAAGACTTCCGCTTCACAGGAAGCCTGTCCTGATACACACAGGTCTTCTCCAGGCCCTGAGCCTCCGGGGCTCTCCCAACAGGAGCATCTGCCTATACCCCAGCACCCAGATCCAGCCTAGAGGCAGAAGAGAGAGGCAAACACTTCCAGCCCTGGGCCCCACAACTGGCACTCACTGCGCAAGGATGCTTTGAGCAGGCAAAGAGGAGAGCAATGAACACGCAGATTCCTGCGAAGGACACCAGTTGCTCAGGCCGCCGGGAGGTGTCCAGAGACAGCCACAGGACCAGGCCCAGGAAAGCAGCAAGAGCTAGGCCCCTGCAGGCAAGAGGAAGAAAGTCATCACCCTCAGCCTGTACCCCCACCCCACCCACACACAATAGCACCCAGCAACCCAGAGAAAAGGTGCTCAGGGCTGGGAGGAGGAGAAAGAGCACAGCACAGTGGAAAGAGCACCAGCTCCGGAACCACATGCTGGGAAGAGCTGACCTCACTGTGTGACCCCAGGCAGATCACCTTGCCTCTCTGAGTCTAGTTTCCTCATGGGTCAAATGAAGCCAGAGACCCTTCATTTCTCAACGTTGCTGACAGGATTATATAGGGGGATGTATGTACCAAGCTGAGCATAGTGACAAGCACCTGGCTCCATCCAGCTACAGGAATCTCATCGCTGCAGTGATGCTCAGCTCAGCCTCTGACCTTGTGGGAGAAAGGACCTGTGCCGCCCAGGACTCAACACTATCGGCCATGACTGCAAAATGTCTAGAAGCATGTGATGTGAGTTTGGACCTCCGAGCTGAGCACCTGAGACCAAGGGAGACCAAGGAATGGATCTAACCTTAACAGCAACACTTCCCTCCCTGGGGCTAGGATTTGTTTGTCCAGGATGCAGCCTGAAGGGTGGGAGAGCTCAGGTTTTGGCATCAGGTGCTCAAGATCTCACCCCAATCCGGTCATCAGTTCAATCCAGTCATCAACTCACTGGGTACTACTAATGACAGTTAATGTTCCACTGAGCACCTATTATATGCCAGGTACTATACCAATGCTGAGAGACACGTTCTTTTGATAGAGATGAGGAAACTGAGGCACAGAGAGGTTAAATAACTGGCCCAAGGCCACTCATCTAGAAAGTGGCAGAACTGAGATTTCAACCCAGGCATTCTGGAAGCAAGGTCTATTCACTTTACAGTTTTATCCAGGCCGGTCCTAGTTGGTAAGTAGGAGACCAAAGATCTGAACTCAAGCAGGCTAATTCCAGAGCCTACTGCTTTTCTTTCTGCTCCTGTTTTTAAACTCTTCTCATTCCAGTTCAATGTGCACAATCTTTGCCTTGTTTGTGTGCCAACTGTACCTCTCTTTACTTACTATTTCTCTTGAGGTTAACTGACTTTATAAGAACTCAAATATGGCCGGGTGTGGTGGCTCATGCCTGTAATCCCAGCACTTTGGGAGGCCATGGTGGGTGGATCACCTGAGGTCAGGCATTCGAGACCAGCCTGGCCAACATGGTGAAACCCATCTCTACTAAAAATCCAAAAATTAGCTGGGAGTGGCGGTGGGTGCCTGTAATCCCAGGTACTTGGGAGGCTGAGGCAGGAGAATCACTTGAATCTGGGAGGCAGAGGTTGCAGTGAGCCGAGATCGTGCCACTGCACTCCAGCCTGGGTGACAGAGCAAGATGCCATCTCAAAAAAAAAAAAAAAAAAAAAAACTTAAATGCTAGTTTCAAATTTTTTATTTTTAACAGCTTTATTAGAGGTATGGTTGATGTATAATCAATTGCACATATTGGAGGTGTTCAATTTGATACGTTTTGGCATATGCATAGTCTTTGAAACCATCACTGCAATCAAGAGATTGAACGTATCCATCATCCCTTTTTTAATTTCTTGCCTCCCTCCCTGTTCCCAGGTAACAGTTGACATGTTTTCTGCCACTAGATTAGTCTGCATTTTTTTTTGTTTGTTTGTTTTTGAGACAGAGTCTCATTTCATCGTCCAAGCTGGAGTGCAATGGCATGACCTCAGCTCACTGCAACCTCCACCTCTGGGGTTTAAGCGCTTTTCCTGCCTCAGCTTCCCAAGTAGCTGGGACTACAGGGATGCACCACCAGGCCCAGCTAATTTTTGTATTTTTAGAAGAGATGGGATTTCACCATGTTGGCCAGGCTGGTCTTGAATTTCTGACCTCAAGTGATCTGCCCGTCTCAGCCTCCCAAAGTGCTTGGATTATAGGCGTGAGCCACCGCACCCCACCTAGTTTGCATTTTTAAGAATTTTATATAAATTTTTTAAAAAGAAAAGAAAGAAGTTTATATAAATAGAACCATACAGTACCTGACCTTTTTTGTTTGACTTCTTTCACTTAGTGTAATTATTTTGAGATTTATCTAGGTTTCTGCATGATTCACTAGTCCATTCCATCTTATTGCTCAGTAGTATTCCATTATATGGATATACCACACTGTGCTTATCAATTCACCTATTGATGGACATTTTGTTGATTTCCAGTTTTTGGCTATTGCAGATAAAGCTGCTATGAACATTCAAAACTTCATGTGCAAGTCTTTGTGTGGATATATGTTTTTATTTCTCTTGGGTAAATGCCTATAAGTAAAATAGGTAGATTATATGATAGGCCTGGAAACTGCCAATCTGTTTTCTACAGCAGTTGCACAATTTTATATTCCCACTAGCAGTATAAAAAAATTCAGTTCCTCTATATCCTTGCCAACACTTGGTATGGTTAGTCTTTTGAATTCTACCCATTCTACTCAGTATATGGTAGTATCTCTTTCTGTTTTTAACTTGCATTTCTCTACTGATAAATGGTGTTGAGCATCTTACCATGTACTAATTTGCCACTTAGGCATATTCTTTAAATGTCTGTTCATATCTTGAGCCTTTTAGTGTTTTTTGTTTGTTTGTTTTTGAGATGGCGTGTCGCTCTGTCACACAGGCTAGAGTGCAGTGGCACGAGATCTTGGCTCACTATAACACCCACCTCCTGGGTTCAAGCAATTCTCCTGCCTCAGTCTCCCAAGTAGCTGGGACTACAGGTGCCTGTTACCATGCCTGGCTAATTTTTGTATTTTTAGTAGAGACAGGGCTTCACCATGTTGGCCAGACTGGTCTCGAACTCCTCAGGGGATCCACCCACCTTGGCCTCCTAAACTACTAGGGTTATAGGCGTGAGCCACCATGCTTGGCCTTGAGCTCATTTTTAAATTGGGTTATTTTGCTTATTAAAGATTTATGACAAGGCCAGGAGCTGTGGCTCTGTCTCCCACGTTCAAGCGATTCTCCTGCCTCAGCCACCTGAGTAGCTGGGACTACAGGTGCATGCCACTATGCCCAGTCAGCTAATTTTTGTATTTTTAGTAGAGACGGGGTTTCACCATGTTGGTCAGGCTAGTCCCAATCTCTTGACCTCGTGATCTGCCTGCCTCAGCCTCCCAAAGTGCTGGGATTACAGGCGTGAGCCACCACACCTGGCCTAAGTTGATTAAATTTTAATCAACTTTTTCCTTCCTTCCTTCCTTGCCTTTTACCCTTCCCCTTCCCTTTTCCCTTCCCCTTCCCTTTCTGTCTTTTTTGAGACAGGGTCTGCTTTGTTGCCCAGGCTGGAGTGCAGTGGCATATAGGCATATTGTGCATAGCTCACTGCAGCCTTGACCTTCTGTGCTCAAGCGATCCTCCTACCTTAGCCTCTCAAGTAGCTGGGATCACAGGTGCACACCACCATACCTGGCTAATTTATTTATCTATTTTTTTGTAGAGATGGGGTCTCATTATGTTACCCAGGCTGGTCTCAAACTCCTGGGCTCAAGCAGTCCTCCTACCTCAGCCTCACAAAGTGCTGAAATTACAGGCATTAGCCACCACACCTGACCCCATTTCTTTTTGTAGAACCAGGTTTCTGCTAGTAGCATTTTCCTTCTCTTCAAAGAATTTCCTTTAACATTTCTTTCTTTCTTTTTTCCTTTTTTTTTTTTTTTTTTTTTTTTTTGAGACAGTGTCTCCCAGGCTGGAGTGCAGTGGTGTGATCTCAGTTCACTGCTACCTCCACCTCCCAGGTTCAAGCAATTCTTGTGCCTCAGCCAACCAAGTGTAATAGCTGATACTACAGGTGCATGCCACCATGCCTGGCTATTTTTCGTGTGTGTATTTTTATTAGAGACAGAGTTTCAACATATTGCTCAGGCTGGTCTTGGACTCCTGAGCTTAAGTGATCTATCCAAGTTGGCCTCCCAAATTGCTGGGATTATAGGCATGAGCCACAACACTGGCTTCTCTCTCTTTCTCTCTTTTCTTTTCTTTTTTCTTTTCTTTTCTTTTTGCCGTAGCATCTCCCTCTATCGTCCAGGCTGGAGTCAGTGGCATGATCCTGGCTTACTGCAGCCTATGTCTCCCAGGCTCAAGCGATCCTCCTTTCTCAGCCTCCTGAGTAGCTGGGACTACAGGTGTGCGCCACTCCTTTAGCATTTCTTGTAGCATAAGTCTGCTTTTTATGTCTGAAAAATTATTTCAGCTTTTGTATGACTGAAAGAATTCTTATTTCCTCTTCTTTTTTGAAATACATTTCACTGGTAAAGAATTGTTGGTTGTCAGCCTTTTGGGTATTTGCTATTGTTGTTGTTGACTGTTCCACTATTTTCTCACTCATTTTTGACAAGACGTCTGCTAGTAATCCATCTTTCTGCTTCTCTGCACATGTCTTTTTTCTCTAGTTGTTGTTAAGGTTTTATCACTGTTCTTAAGTAATTTGATTATTGCCTCGGTATAGTCTTCATGTTTCTTGTGCTGGGAGTTCATGAAGTTTCTTGAATCTTTGGGTGTCCAATTGTCATCCTATTTGGATTTTTTCTGGACATAATTTCTTCAAATATTTTTTTCTGCCCTCCTTCCCCTCTGGAGACTTCAACTGTGTATATTCAACTGAAGTTGTGCCGTGGTTAACTGATGCTCTGTTTGAATTTTTTCAAGTTTTGTCTTTAAGATGTTAGGCAGGGCCTGAGAAGCATTTATTCTAGAGTTGATTTTTTTTTTCTCTGCTACTGAGCCAAAACCTTCTTACTACGCTAAACAATGCCCTGTGCATTATGAGGTTTTTTTCACCTGACTGTCGGGAATAGACACTATTCCTGGCCCTGTGTGATTCCAAGTATGATTCCCACTTCTCCTTTTGGGTGGTTCTTTCCTAGTACTAGGGTAGTTTCCTCATCTGTATTCTCTGAGCGGAACTCAACTGCATGTTCAAGGAGGATTCTCTGCATAGCTCTGGGCTTTGCTCTGTGATCTCTCAGCTGTGTCTCTGTGCTCTGCAATGTGAACCCTGCCTGCCTTGGCTTCCCTAGATTTCCAGCTCTGTCTCTTCAACTTAGGGAATCTGCTGGTGTCCCACCTCAGTTTTCCTTCCCTGTGCTGTGGTCTGGAAATGCTCTCCAGGCAGTCAGCTGGGGAGAACACAGGACTAACCTCATTTGTTTCCTAATTCTCAAGGATCAGTGTCCTTTATTGACTGATGTCCAACATCAAAGAGCTCTTGTCTCATGTATTTGTTCCAGTTTTTTAGCTGTTTCAACTGGGAGGATAAACCTGGTCTCTGTTATTCCATCTTAACTGGGAGCCAAAATCAAATGCATGCTTTTTTTTTTTTTTTTTTTTTTTTTTTTTTTTTTGAGACGGAGTCTTGCTCTGTCACCCAGGCTGGAGTGCAGTAGCGCTATCTTGGCTCACTGCAAGCTCCATCTCCCAGGTTCACACCATTCTCCTGCCTCAGCCTCCAGAGTAGCTGGGACTACAGGCGCCCACCACCACGCCTGGCTAATTTTTTGTATTTTTAGTAGAGATGGGGTTTCACCGTGTTGACCAGGATGGTCTCGATCTCGTGACCTCGTGATCTGCCTGTCTCAGCCTCCCAAAGTGCTGGGATTACAAGCATGAGCCACCACGCCCAGCCAAATGCATGTATTTTTTAACAGCTTTATTGAGACAAAATTTACATGCCATACAATTTGCCCATTTACAGTGTATAGTTCAAGGATAGAAGTTCCTCACAAAACTAAAAATAGAAGTACCATATGATTCAGTAATTCCTCTACTGGGTATATACGCAAAGGAAAAAAAAAAAAGGAAATCAATATATTGAAAAGACATCTGCACTCCATGTTTATTGCAGCATGATTCACAATAGCCAAAATATGGAATCAACCTAGGTGCCCATCAACAGATGAATGGATAAAGAAAATGTGGTATATATACACAATGGAATATCATTCAGCCATAAAAAAACAATGAAATCCTATTATTAGCAGCAACATGGACGGAATTGGAGATCATTATGTTCAGTGAAATAAGCCAAGCACAGAAAGACAAATACTGCATGTTCTCACTCATATGTGGGAGCTTAAAAAGTAGATCTTATGAAGACAGACAGTAGTTTGGTCGTTACCAGAGACTCTAAAGGGGAGGAGGGAGGTGGGATGACAAGAAGTTGATTAATGGGTACAAATATATAGTTTGAGAGAAGAAATAAGACCTAGTGACAGATAGATGAGTAAGGTGGCTACACTGTACAATAATGTATTGCATATTTCAAAATAGCTAGGAGAATTTGAATAGTTCTAATATAAAAAAAGACAAATATTTAATTTGATGGATATCCCAAGTACACTAATTTGATCTTTACAAATTATATGAATGTATTATATTATCACATGTACCCTGAAACTATGCACATTTATTAGGTTGGTGCAAAATGTATTGCATAACGGCAAAACCACAATTACTTTTGCACCAACCTAATAATATTATGCAGCAATTTTTTAAAGTGTATTTTTGTTTGGTTGGTTGGTTTGGTTTTTTTTTTTTCTTTTTTGAGACAGAGTCTCACTCTGTCACGCAGGCTGGAGTACAGTGGTGCAATCTTGGCTCACTGCAACCTCCGCTTCCCAGGTTCAAGGGATTCTCCTGCCTCTGCCTCCTGAGTAGCTGGGATTACAGGTGCACACCACCACACCCAGCTTTTTTTTTTTTTTTTGTATTTTTAGTAGAGACAGGGTTTCACTGTGTTAGCCAGGATGGTCTTGATCTCCTGACCTCATGATCCACCCGCCTCAGCCTCCCAAAGTGCTGGGATTACAGGCTTGAGCCACCATGCCTGGCTAAAAGTGTATGGTTTAATGGTTTTTAGTATAGTTACAGATTTGTGCAACCATTATCATAATCCTAGGATATTTTCATCAGCCCAAAATGAAGCCCCAAACCACTGGCGGTCACTACCTCCTCTTCCCATCCACCCTAGCAATCACTAATCAACTCTCTGTCTCCACAGATTTCCCATCACTAATCAACTCTCTGTCTCCACAGATTTGCCCATTCTGGACATTTCACATAAATGGAATCATGCAGTATATGGTTCTTTAAAACTGGCTTCTTTCACTGAGCATGATGTTCTCAAGGTTTATCATTATTGTAGTATTTATCAAGACTACATTCCTTTTCATGGCCAAATAATATTCTATTGTATGGATATATAGATTTTCTTTATCCATTTTCCAGTTGATGAACATATGTGTAGTTTTCACTTTTTGGCTATGATTAATGCTATATGAAGATTTGTGCACAAGTTTTTATGTGGACATATATTTTTATTTCTCTTAGGTATATACCTAGGAGTGGAATTTCTGGGTCATATGGTAAGTCCATGTTTAACATTTTGAGGAACTGCCTAACCATTTTCTTTTTTCTTTCTTTCTTTTTTTTTTTTTTTTTTGAGACAGAGTTTTGCTCTTGTTGGAGCAATGGTGCTGGAGTGCAATGGTGCGATCTCGACTCACTGCAACCTCTGCCTTCCGGTTTCAAGCAATTCTCCTGCCTCAGCCTCCCAAGTAGCTGAGATTACAGGCGCCCACCACCATGCCTGGCTAATTTTTGGATTTTTAGTAGAGACAGGGTTTCGCCATGTTGGCCAGGCTGGTCTCGAACTCCTGACCTCTTGATCCTCCCACCTTGGCCTCCCAAAGTGCTGCGATTACAGGCATGAGCCACCATGCCTGGTCAGCCATTTTCTAAAGCAGCTGCACTGTTTTGCATTTCTGCCAGCAGTGTCTCAGGGTTTCAATTTCTCCACATCTTTGTCAACACTTGTTATCATCTATCTTATTGATTATGGCCATCTGACTGAATATGAAGTGGTATCTTATTGTGGCTTTGCTTTGCATTTCCATGATGGCTACTGATGTTGAGCACATTTTCATGTGATTTTTGGCTGTAGCAAAACCTTTTATTCTTCAAATGGGTTGTCTTTTTATGGTTGAGTTGTAATTCTGCATACAGTTTCTTTATGCAGACATAGGATTTGTACATCTTTTCTCTCATTCCATGAGTTGTCTTTTCACTTTTTTGATAGTGTGCATTGCATCAAAAAGTTTTTAGTTTTTATGAAGTCCAGTTTATCTGCATGCATTTTTTTAAAGGAAACTTCGTATCAGTCCCTCAAGTGGAAAACCATCATCAATGACTTGTCATAGAAAACCATTGTAAAAATAAATCACAAATGTATTTAATAAAGAGAAGTCAAATGTAACAGTAAATGTACTTATAAATAAAATTTTAAATGTGTTCATCCACAGGCTGGCTCAAATCATTTTGCTGTGGTATGAGGATTTCACTTTGGGAAAGTGAGAGTCACCCCTGTACCCTTGCATCCCCCTGACTTAGTCTTTGGGTATCTTTGGCCACCAGCTTCTTCATCAATAAAATAGAGTACTGAAATAGATTGGTGGTCTTCAGACTTTTTTTTTAAGCCATAGAAACCGTTTTCTTCCCCCAAGCCAATTTTTTTTGCGAACCTTGGCTTACAAAACACATAAGACTCTGCTGGCTACATCAGAATTCCCTAGAGGCTAATGAAAAATACTAGCACCTGGACCCCGATCGAGCCTGCTGAATCCCACTCCAGGGATGGTCCCTGCGGCTTTTTGTCTCACACTGCCCAGGTGATCTCAGGGAGGTACTGATTTGGGCCCTCCTTGCTCCAGGAGCTGGGATCCCTGAATGGAGGCAACTGTTGAGTTCAGTTTTCATCCACCACAGTCACCTGCTGTAACTGGGACTAAGAACTGGTGAAACACCAAAAGATACTGCTATGTTTGAAGTCACCCACAAGCTCCTGCCCTGGGGCCCTGGAGAGTTCTCCATGACACAGAGCCTTCCTCTTCCTCCAGCCCTGGCCATAACCCTGGAGCCAACCCCTCAGCTCACGGGCCCTCCCTTGTCCTGCCTCAGGGCTGTGAGCTCACTCACCTCTTAACCCAGAGCAGCAGGCGAGGATGGTCCTGAGGCTTGAGAAACCTCCTTAGCTTTGGCCCCAGAAGCCGTTTCAGCAGGCGGTGGCCCAGGAACGTGAGGACCACACAAGTGAGGACAAACAGAGCCAGGGCCCTCTGGAAATCCAGGAGGCAGGCCACCAGCAGGAAGGCAGCGAACGCTGGGGGACGAGAGAGAGGAGGGGTCAATGGCCACGACATCACCTCTTCAGGCCCCTGCAGCCCCGCCACGGACTCCACCTTACTCCACCTAGATCGTGGAGGGCAGGAAACTCACCCAACCTCACTGAGCCTGTTTCCTCATCTGGAAATGAAAACAACCATCACTACTGTGTCAAAAGTAGTTAGGAGTTACTGGCAGAAGGCATTGTGAAAGGGCCTTGTAAACTGTAAAGTGCTTACCAAATGTGAGGGAGATGTGTAAGGAGGCCGCAAAGCAAAACAGCAAGAAGTGCTGGGCATCAGTGGAGCATCTGCTGTGGTCCAGCGCCATGCTAGGCCCCGTGGAGGAAGGAGACGAGCCCATCAGCTACTCCATGAAGGAGTCCACATATGTGTGCTGGGACTGCATCCTGAAATGTTCATCAATGACCGTGCTTCCTAGAGTTTCCTTTCCCCTTTTGCCCTTCTCTCCTTTGAGCCACTCAGCCTCAGAAAGGCGCGTGAGAATGGATAGCTGAGGGGGAGATGTCTCTCCCTAGATTTTTTTTTTTTTTTTTTTTTGAGACAGGATCTCATTTTGTTGCCCAGGCTGGAGCACTATCTCGGCTGACTGCAACCTCCGCCTCCTGGGTCAAAGCAATGCTTCTGCCTTAGCCTCTCGAGTAGCTGGGATTACAGGTACCCACCACCAAGGCTGGCTAATTTCTGTATTTTTGGTAGAGACAGGGTTTCGTCATGTTGCTCAGGCTGGTGTTGAACTCCTGGGCTCAAGTGATCCGCCCACCTCAGCCTCCCAAAGTGCTGCGATTACAAGTGTAAGCCATCGCACCTGGCCTCTCCCTGGCTTTGGAATTTCAGAATCCAGGATCCTCAAAGAATGGAAAGGATGCTTAACCATGGATAAAAAATGTGATCTGAAACATCACGAATAAAGGTAAGTTCTACCCAACCGCTCTGCTACCAGGCAATAACAAGGACAATGGTATCACAGAGAAAGCGCCTGAGCCTGGCAAGGCTGCCAAGCCAGGTGTGTTTGCAGCGTTGCAAGCAGCGAAGCCTTGTGCCTGGCTTCCTGGTGGAGCCCCAGGGAGGTCCCAGGACTGCAGAGAGAGGAATGCCCACGCGGTGCATGGCAAGCCAGTGAGGCTCTGCAGGCACCAAAACAGCTGAAGTGGTCTCCATGAGAGGCCTGAAGAGGAGAGAGGTGGGAGACCAGAATGAGCCCACCATGGGGAAGAGGGCATCGCCATGGTCACCTGCAAGGATGGAGGACCCAGGACCAGCTGGAGAAGTGGACAAGTCAGGAGACACTTGAGGAGTAATAATAGATAAGCCCCCCTGGTAACCCCCAGAGGAAGGGATGAAGGAAGATTCCAACTGGACAGAAATTGAGTTCCCGTCACTCGCTGGAATGATAAAATTGAGGGAAAAGATAAGTTGAGTCATAAAACATAAAATGACCCTTCTCTCATATGGAAGCTTGTGGGCCAGAGTTCCAACCTGAACGGGTGTCACTGAGACACACAGCTGGAGCCCCACAGGGTGGTGCTGGGGCTGCTGGTACCAGCCGTGGAGGTTCAGGGGAGGCGGACCTGGCCAGGGAGAGGATCCGTGGTCGCCAGGAGGTGAGCTTAGCACTTCAGATGCACTTTCACAATGAATCCTCACAAGACCCCTATAAGGTGGGGTCTACAGTGATGCCCACTTGGAGAGCGAGGCCTCTGAGGCCAGCCAAGATGAGTGCCTCACACAGGGAGGGCATGGGGCGAGGAGGCCAAGAAAGTCTGTGCACCTCAGGTCCTGTGCTTTGTGGTTGAGGCGGGCCAGGAAGGCTGGGGGAGTCTGGGTAGACCAGGACAGGGACTCAGGGAGAGGGGGCAGTGTGGAGGAGTCCTGCAGGCAGGGCACAAGGACAGTAGTACTTTTGGAAGTATTTTATTCATCTAGGATCCATTCACAGGGATTGGTTTGGGGACGGGCAGGACCTGAGCTAAGCTCCTTGAAGAACTCCCTGGGACTTTGACTGGAACAGCCAGCAAGAGGCACCCCCTTCTTCTAAGACTGGGGACACCAAGGCCATCCTTGTTAGTCTGGTGCCAGGACTGTCGCTGTACCCATGGAGAAGGCCTACCTGAGGTGAGCAAGCCACTGTCACAGATCAGGAGCCAAGTCCTGAGAATGTGAGCTTCATTTCTCTATCACAGCTATTCCCAGAACATCTGTGAACAGCCTCCCCAGGAAAGAGGTGATGTAATAAAGATATTGAAAAGCCAGAGAAATCAAAGTCACCCAGAGACAGTCACTGCTGACCATTGCAAGAGATCATTTAATGATTCAGTTTGCATTCCTGAAAGCCATGGCAAACGTGGAAATAGGATGAGAGGGATAATTTTCATTCTCTACTGAGATAATTCAATTGTTCTTCAAGAGAAACAAATTGGATCTGAGTGAAGGAGGCAGCCAAGGAAACAGAGACGGTCCTGGCTTCAGACCCTGCCAAAAGTGGACGTCACCATCTCTAGGAGGAAGCTGTGAGGAAGCTGTGAGGGACATGGACCCACCCCATCTCAGCAGATGACCCTACTTTAAAGTTCACCAAGCAGACCAGGTCATTGCTGTCACCTCTCTCACTGTCTTTCCCCTCCAGAGCACCTATAATGAGCTCTGCATCTGTACCCATCCTCCTTTTTCTTTTTTCAAAATTTATTTTTATTTTTAAAATTTTTTGTAGAGGTTGGGTCTTGCTGTGTGGCCCAGGCTGGTCTTGAACTCCTGGGCTCAAACAATCCTCCCACTGCAGCCTTCCGAAGTGCTGGGATTACAGGCATGAACCACCTGCCATGCCTGGCCCCTCTTTAATTCCAACCTGTCAGGATGAGGTGAACTTGCTCCTGAAAAGACCCACCCCTCCCTGTGGGGTGGGGAGCTCTTCTACTCTGTGCCAGGGGACCTTGCTCCATTGGTCATCTTTTCATCTCCCATTCCTTCACGTTCCTTCTACAAACTCCCCACCTCAGCTCCTACACACAAAGTGTCTCCCACCCCAAACTCATGCCCATCCTTGACACTTGGTCACATGCTGCCCATTCATCCTCCCCGCCTGACGTCATAAAAATTGATCAAGGCTGGGCGCAGTGGCTCACGCCTGTAATCCCAGCACTTTGGGAGGCTGAGGAGGTGGATCACGAGGTCAGGAGATCAAGATCATCCTGGCTAACACGGTGAAACCCTGTCTCTACTAAATATAAAAAATATTAGCCGGGCGTGGTGGCAGGCGCCTGTAGTCCCAGCTACTCGGGAGGCTGAGGCAGGAGAATGGTGTGAACCCAGAAGGCAGAGGTTGCAGTGAGCCGAGATAGCACCACTGCACTCCAGCCTGGGTGACAGAGCAAGACTCCATCTCAAAAAAATAATAAAAAAGGTTGGTTCCAAGATGGCCGAGTAGGAACAGCTCCAGTCTGCAGCTCTCAGCGTGAGCGATGCAATAGATGGGTGATTTCTGCATTTCCAACTGAGGTACCAGGTTCATCTCACTGGGGCTCTCACTGGGGCTTGTCAGACAGTTGATGCAGCCCACTTAGCAGGGCGGGGCATCGCCTCACCCAGGAAGTGCAAGGGGTCAGGGAATTCCATTCCCCAGCAAAGGGAAGCCATGACAGACGGTACCTGGAAAATCGGCACACTCCCACCCTAATACTGTGCTTTTCCAATGGCCTTAGCAAACGGTGCACCAGGAGATTATATCCCGTGCCTGACTTGGAGGGTCCCACACCCACGGAGCCTCGCTCACTATTAGCACAGCAGTCTGAGATCAAACTGCAAGGCGGCAGTGAGGTTGGGGGAGGGGTGTCCACCATTGCTGAGGCTTGAGTAGGTAAATAAAGCGGTCCAGAAGCTGGAACTGGGTGGAGCCCACCACAGCTCAAGGAGGCCTCCCTGCCTCTGTAGACTCCACCTCTGGGGGCAGGGCATAGCTGAACAAAAGGCAGCAGAAACTTCTGCAGGCTTAAATGTCCCGTCTGACAGCTTTGAAGAGAGTAGTGGTCCTCCCAGCACAGAATTTGAGATCTGAGAATGGACACTCTGCCTCCTCAAGTGGGTCCCTGACTCCCAGTACCCTAACTGGGAGACACCTCCCAGTAGGGGCCAACTGACACCTCCTACGGCTGGATGCCCCTCTGAGATGAAGCTTCCAGAGGCAGGATCAGGCAGCAACATCTGCCGTTCTGCAATATTTGTGGTTTTGAAGCCTCTGCTGGTGATACCCAGGCAAACAGGGTCTGGAGTGGACCTCCAGCAAACTCCAACAGACCTGCAGCTGAGGGTCCTGACTGCTAGAAGGAAAACTAACAAACAGAAAGGACATCCACACCAAAACCCCATCTGTACATCACCATCATCAAAGACCAAAGGTAGATAAAACCACAAAGATGGGGAGAAACCACAGCAGAAAAGCTGAAAATTCTAAAAATCAGAGTGCCTCTTCTCCTCCAAAGGAATGCAGCTCCTTGCCAGCAATGGAACAAAGCTGGATGGAGCATGACTTTGATGGCTTGAGAGAAGAAGACTTCAGACAATTGGTAATAACAAACTTCTCTGAGCTAAAGGAGGATGTTCGAACCCATCGCAAAGAAGCTAAAAACCTTGAAAAAACATTAGACGAATGGCTAACTAGAATAAACAGTGTAGAGAAGTCTTAAATGACCTGATGGAGCTGAAAACCGTGGCACAAGAACTATGTGATGTATGCACAAGCTTCAGTTGCCGATTTGATCAAGTAGAAGAAAGGGTATTAGTGATTGAAGATCAAATGAATGAAATGAAGCAAGAAGAGAAGTTTAGAGAAAAAAGAGTAAAAAGAAACAAACAAAGCCTCCAAGAAATATGGGACTATGTGAAAAGACCAAATCTACGTCTGACTGGTATACCTGAAAGTGACAGGCAGAATGGAACCAAGTTGGAAAACATTCTTCAGGATTTTATCCAGGAGAACTTCCCC